GTAATGATGACTCCTCAAATATCCAGCCTCTTACGAGCTTACAGCTTCAGCTGTAATAAAACTAAATAGTCTTTCTAGTCTGAGGAGTTCACTATATCGCCCCTGAAATCAAAGATAATAAATTAATTGAAGAGGTTTTCCACCCTCTTTGGTTTGATTTTTGGCAGAGTTCTATGTCCAATGACATGTACAGAAACCTCTGCACACCTGGTGTGCCACATGATTTACCCCAAACAGTGTTTGTTATGCAGCTGTTGGATCCATTGTTGCAGCCAGTAAATAGAAAAAAAAAAAAAAAAAAGTAGGACATGAGTTCTCAAGAAGCTCACCATCCAACTGGGCAAGTAAAAATTTACCTGTAGGAAAAAACGATCACTATAATTGGTTCTGAAACTAACCGAACCAATGTATTCTGCTGTGGAAAAAAAATGAAGACTGTTCTCTATGTTTTACTCTGAATTTTTCTTGAACTTTTAGCACTGTTTGCTATCTTTTTTCTAGAGAAATCCAGCACATAGCAACATAAGTACCAGAAAGAAGTATTAACAGGAAAACTGACCACTGACCACAGGCTAATCATATATATATATTTTTTTTTAACGGAGTCTTGCTGTGTCACCCAGGCTGGAGTGCAGTGGCACGATCTCAGCTCACTGCAACCTCTGCCTCCTGGGTTCAAGCAATTCTCCTGCCTCAGCCTCCCTAGTAGCTGGGACTTCAAGCATGTGCCACCACGCCCAGCTAGTTTTTTTGTATTTTCAGTAGAGATGGGGTTTCACCACATTGACCAGGCTGGTATCGATCTCCTGACCTTGTGATCTACCCACCTCAGCCTCCCAAAGTACTAGGATTACAGGCGTGAGCCACTGTGCCTGGCCAGACTAATCATACTTAATTCGGCAACTTTATTTTTTATGGGCACATGGGCTCCCACTTGCAACTTGACTTTGCATCCACTTTTGCTGGTAGAATGTTTTTATTTGCAGGATAAAATAAAACATATCAAAAGTTCATGGCATGTTATCAAGAACCACATACCTGAACAAATTTGAGAACCGTGTTCCATAATGTTTGTTCTTCGTGAGCAAACAGGCTCAAAGGACAAAGGAAGGGTCATATGATACTTCTCTTTCCTCCTCCTCCTCCTCCTCCTCTTGACTCCTCCTCTTCTTCCTCCTTTTCCTCCTCCTCCTCCTCTTGCCTCCCCCTACTTTTCTTCCCCTCCCTGCAGTGGTAGCTATCTCCTGGGCTCTTTCCCACTATCCTTCCTCTGCTTTCCACCCACCCACCCACCATTCCAGTTTATCCCAGAACAACCAAAATAACCTTCAAATTGATTCCCCTTCTATAGTCCCTACTCACTCCAATTCATCACACACTCTTCCCAGAGACTCCCCTTCCTGCAGCACGGATTTTTTCAAACCCTTTTCCCATCAAAAACATTGATTGATTGCCCGCTTAATAATGTCCGAAAGTCTTAGGTTCAGAATCAAATCCTCCAAAATACAACATCTGGTCTTTGGTTAATATTTGAATACATGTGTTATCTCTACACGATTTATGTTCAACTAACCACTCAGAAGAAATTTGACAAGAGATTTCTCATGTCAGTGGAGACATGTCAAATCAGTTTAAAATGAATGTGGGGCTTTTTAAATAGCTGATTCTCAAGTAGAAGGTGGTATTGGCTGTGTAAACTTGTTACTATTTCCTGTTTCCTTAAGGAACAAAGAGATTTATTTTGACATCTATGGGTGAATATCAGGATTCCAAGTGGAAATGATCCCTTGTTTTTTTCTATGAATTGTCCTGTCACTGGAGGTTTACTGGAATCAAAGACAAATGTGCTTCTCTGGACTGCTGAAAATCAGAGTGCTCAAAATCACATAACTTGATGTTTACTGTCAAGGGAAAATATGGTTGGTACAGTTATTTCATAGAGCCCTGAAATTGCCTAAGGGTCTATCATATTGTTTGCTATTGATTATAGGGTTAAAATATTTTCCACAAAAGTCTAGCAAGATTAACTTTATGCCAAATGATACCACCCCTCTAGTGTGGCAGGATAGAGCCCCACTTTCTTCTTTATATGTTGTTTTCCTTTTTATTTTTTAATAATCATAGTTTACTTTTAGAATATGGAAAAAAATATTTCTATGAAGAAACTTTAAAATTCGCTTTAAAAAGTGATATGAGCCTTAAACTTTGCAATCCGGTGTTTGTTGGATATTTTGAAATAAGCTTTAGTGGCTTCTCTCCTCTAAGTCGAGCTATTTCGACAAGGCCTCTTTCAGTACCTGTTAGAAATAACCACTAGATTCAGAGCTCAACAATGGGAGTTTGTTCATTCAATCTGATCATTATTGACTAATTTGCATTTAGAATGCTATCTCCAACCATTAATTAGTCATTCCTCAAAACAACCCAATGGGAGAGAGGAACATAATTATCGCTGTTTAGAAATGAAACCAACCAACAGTGCGTACAGTGCTCCACAGAGGCAGATCCCCTAGCTATGCAGTCATGGCTGCTGGGAATATGCCAGCTGTCAGGGCCACCACACATCCAATAGGAGATGCAAGAGTTAGAATTTTACAAAAATACCTCCAATGTTCCTATTTCATAAGCATTTGGGTTTAGATTTGCTGAGATTCAGTAACATTGATTTGTCTTGCAAACCTTTATAAATATAACATCAGATTTATCAGACCACTTTTTATGGCAACACAACATAAGATGTGCAACATTGTATATATGCTCTTAAATGTTCACAAATTCCCTCAAGTCACCAACAGAATTATAATAGTGAAGGTAAGGGATAATCAAACAGCAAATACATACTAAATATTCATTATTCACAGGGCTCCATACTGGAACTATGAACAGGGATGGGAGCAAGAAATTAAAAAGATACCTACAACCCTGGCTTTGCTCTAATCTAAGGTACCTAGAATTTGATAAAGAATCCAGCCAAATGCATATAAAATGTAATGTTTTAGAAAAATTTAATTATATGTAACCTTAATTTTACAATAAGCATTTTTTTTTTCTATATCTTTCTCCACAAAAATACATTTTCTTTAAGTTAAGATGCAAGGGTGCACAAGTTACTTTAGAAGGTTGGAAAAGTCCCAGGAATTGGCCCTGAAATTATTTATTTTATTACTTAAAGAATGCTGGTGAATTCTTTCAAGAAAGAAAATATGGGGCTGGGCGCAATGACTCACGCCTGTAATCCCAGCACTTTGGGAGGTCGAGGAGGGCGGATCACGAGCTCAGGAGTTCAAGACCAGCCTGACCAATATAGTGAAACCCCCTCTGTACCGAAAATACAAAAATTAGCTGGGTGTAGTGGCACATGCCTGTAGTCCCAGCTACTCAGGAGGCTAAGGCAAGAGAATCGCATGAACCCAGGAGGCAGAGGTTGCAATGAGCCAAGATTGCGCCACTGCACTCCAGCCTAAGCGACAGAGTGAGACTCTGTCTCAAAAAAAAAAAAAAAAAAAAGAAAGGAAGGAAGGAAGGAAATAAATATGGGCAGGGTGTGGTGGCTCATGCCTGTTATCCCAGCACTTTGGGAGGCCGAGGCACACATGTCACCTGAGACCGGGGGTTCGAGACCAGCCTGACCAACATGGAGAAACCCTGTCTCTACTAAAAATACAAAATTAGCTGGTCATGGTGGCACATGCCTGTAATTCCAGCTATTCAGGAGGCTGAGGCGGGAGAATTGCTTGAACCCAGGAGGCGGAAGTTGCAGTGCACCGTGATCGGCACCATTGTACTCCAGCCTGGGCAACAAGAGCAAAGCTCTGTCTCAAAAAAAAAAAGAAAAAATTTCCTAGCTGACCATGGAAGGATAACAAATGTGATGAATCTAGCCAGGTGCGTTGGCTCACGCCTGTAATCCCAGCACTTTGGGATGCTGAGGCAGGCGGATCACTTGAGGTCAGGAGTTCGAGACCAGCCTGTCCAACATGGTAAAGCCCCATCTCAACAAAAATATAAAAACTTAGCCAGGTGTGATGGTGTGCACCTGTAATCCCAGCTACTCGGGAGGCTGAGGCAGGAAAATCTCTTGAACCCGGGAGGCGAGGTTGCAGTGAGCCAAGATCATGCCACTGCACTCCAGCCTGGGAGACAGAGCGAGACTCTATCTCAAAAAAAAAAAAAAAGTGATGAATCCATGTGTTATTATTTCCCACTACACTAAGCCATCAATATATCATGATTCTCTATGTGCTCTTCTAACACACGAACACACACCACACACACTAACACATAATTTTTGCTTTTAATTGAAGAACATTTTCAATACCTCTCAAGTGGGCAAAAATCCTGTTTATATTCTTGTTTGCTCCAGTTTTGGCTTCATAAGAATTTTTTTGTTTGTTTTTGAGGCAGAGTCTCTCTCTCTGCCCAGGCTAGAGTACAGTGGTATGATCTCAGATCGCTGCAGCCTCCACTTCCTGGGTTCCAGTGATTCTCCATCCTTAACCTCCCGAGTAGGTGGGATTATAGGAGCCCACCACCAGGCCCAGCTAATTTTTGTATTTTTAGTAGCGGCGGGGTTTCACCATATTGGCCAGGCTGGTCTCGAACTCCTGATCTCAGGTGATCTGCCTGCCTCGGCCTCCCAAAGTGCTAGGATTACAGGTGTGAGCCTCCGCGTCCCAGCCCAGCTTTAAGAATTTAATCTTCATTTCAAGCACAAAAAGACTGTCTTTTTTTTTGGTGGGGGGGGGGGGGGTGTTGGGGCCTCTTTTTTGAACTCTTTAGGGCCAAATGAACCTTTCTTCCTTGATCCCAGGGTGGAGTCAAAATGAATCTAACAGACAAATGGCCCAACATCCTTCATGTCACTGCCGACTTCTCATTCAAAGGGGTACTTGGGGTGGCAGGTGGAGTTATAATTATAGCTTAGAAAAAAGCAGCATCAGCAGCTGTCGCTTCTGTTTGTTCCCAGCTATAACTGTCATCAGTGGGTAAATTGGCATAAACAGGCCTCCACAAGTGGAAAAACATTTAACCCCTGTACTTGTCACACTCTGGGTCCTCTCAGTGGCCAGAGAACAGAAAGAAAATCTGACTGTGCACGAGCGAAGGGTAACACCGGGCGTGCAGCACCGACCTGAAGGCGCCTCTTCAGGGGGAGCCCCAAATTTGAAGATTCTCTTTCCTGTCGGAGACTCCAAACCAAATAAATAGGTTAGTGCCCAGAGTAAACCTATGCATTTTAATTCCGACCTCTACTTGCTGTGATTTTCATTTTCCTGGCAGAGCTTAAAAAGAGTGAACTACTAAATGAAAGAAAGGAAAGTTATTTAAGGACTGTTACTTAAAATTACTGGGAATCCATGAGAACACATTATGAAATGGGCTTAATGTATTATGCTCCTCTCCCAATTTTGGCTGTATTCGCACTAGACAAATAGACAAGGTAAAGATGGAAAAATAAAACCGGTTTTGTGGCATAAGTCCCATCCTTTTGTAATGCCACTTACTTATGCCAAAAGGCCCTCCCTTCTTTATTAAAATCCGTAATGTTGAAAGCTAAGTTTGTGATTTTAGAAAATGCTGTAAACGTAGCTCCAGAGTTTCATTTCCTTAGGGAAAATAGGCAAATCAGAGTTGAATTGTTTTTCCAACAATGAGTAAAGATAGAATATTTTCTTGTTTATGATAAAATGTGTGGTGTAGGTTACTTTACAAAAGAAATCTGCTACAGAATTTATTTTTTGTGTCTAGTACAATTCTACCTAAAAGCTTCATGATTTCAGTCTAAGTAGCTCTATAAGACTCTCCTCATAGATCCTTTTGAGAAAAGATTTTAAATAAATCTAATTTTATTTGCATATATTCTATCTTAGCCAGAAATTGAGCAGGATTTAGCTCTGCGCTGTCTGTTTCAAAACCTGAATATTTAATGTATTGGTGAAAAGTGGTGGAATTCCAAAGAACTCACTGAAAACAAGGCTTTGGGGCCCAGTGCTCATGCTAACCACATTCATGAAATGGACTCAAGTAGAAAGAGTGGTAAATAATAACCTCATTTTGTTCAGTTCAAAAGAGAATGTGAACCATCCCTAAGCGTTTATGTACAACCTTTCATAAGGAAAGTGCACCGTTCTTATTTATCATTATGGCCCAACTTTTTGGCTACCTTTTGAAATGCAATGAGTGCTAACGATGTACTTGGACCTCCACTAGAGAGACATCTACATGCAACCAAACCCACCAAAAGTGCCCCATCAATTACATTCCCATGAGGGCCTTGTTTGTCTCATTTGTTCATTCAAATACATATTGACCAATGGCTATATAATCTAAAAATAATATTTAACAGTTAAGGCAAGTTTAGGATGTCTAATATTACTCTTCCCAGAGACTCCTGTCTTCCTGCTTTCTGCTAAACTGAGATAATGGTTATCTGAAAGTTCCAAATTATAGAAACTAAGAAACACAAAAAGGAGATATAGCTGACTAGTTGCTGGCTTGAATTTCCTTGATATACAGACATACAGATTTATGCCCTATTTTAAACATTGCTTTTTACTTGTGTTTTGTCTTCTTGCTCTTCTAGAAAAAACTATCCAAGATGACTGTCACTTACTCCAGTAAAGTAGCAAATGCAACTTTTTTTGGATTTCATAGGTTACTCTTCAAGTGGAGAGGCAGCATCTACAAACTACTGTACAGGGAATTTATTGTTTTTGCTGTTCTTTATACAGCAATAAGTTTGGTGTACAGGTACTTTTCTTTGCATGTCTCTTTAAATGGCCATCAGATATTGTATAAGAATACAGTCTCAAAAATCTGAACCTTTTGATCACCACTGACTTTGCGTTATGTAACTCCTTTTTTGCATGAGCCTCTCTTTTGTCTTCTTCCCCTCAGGACAGATTTTAATCCACCACTAACCATTGTTAGGATGTAAAATAGACCCTCACTGTAAGATTCAAGTGGCCTTCATTCCAGCCCCAGTTGTGCCTCAAGACTGTTGCAATAGGCATAAAATGGAAGAATTACCCTTAGATGCTTACTATGTGAAGATTTTTGAATGGGCAAAGTCCACAGACAACAATTATTTGTGCTTCTGTCTACTTGTCATTCATAGTTGATGATTTGACAGCTTGTAGCAACTACCTATATAATCAACATGTTCATGATTGGTGTATGTCAGGCAAAAGCTTTCCTTCTTTTTGCCTGGAATGAAAATATCTTATCCAGGATGATGCCTGCCACACTTAACAGTACCTCAACTAAAGCAAAGGCCTGTAGACTAATTTATTTTCTTTCCATTTTCTGAGTTGAGGGCATGTTATGTTCACAAAAGGAGGTGCTTATTCTTTATAACATTACAACATATGCCTGTGAGATTGACAGGAAATTTGAGCAATATCAAGTCCAAGAAATACTTTGATGATGAAAAATTATAGACTTAATAAAATTTCATCAGTATGATAAAAGGGAAAACTTATGAGATTTTAAAGCTTTTTAAATTAACATCGAATGCATAAATTTCTTCTCTGGAAGAAGCTAAAACTTAAAACAGGAAAGCTAAAGGTTTTTGAGGCTGTATTTCCATTTTTTCTACGTACATAGTTTGTTATTTTTCTTCTGCATACAGATAAACAAATTTGTGTTTCATTGCTCTCACATTCTTCCTTGTAGCAACAGAATCTCCTTTGGAAAAGAGGGATATTAATTTAGTTGACTGATAATTATTAAAAGTAAAATAGGTAGAGCTATTTTTCCATATGTCAAAACAACCCTTCCAAGCAAGTGTATGCATTGGTATATATTTTGACAAAATATTTTTAGAGGGAAAGTCTTGTTAACAACCTCTAATAATTTTTCAGACATGTCATATAATATGATATTATTTTGGCAATTTAGGTGTGTATCACCTAAGCCTTCAGAATATGAAATGGTAGAAGATACAATGGTGTTTCGTGATAATTATCTCATTAGTTCATTTTTACTAATATGAATTTATTGCTGCTACTGCTGCTAAGAATAGAACAGAATAGCCCTAAGGATAGTTGCAGTGTAGCTAGAAATGTTCCTTGGGGCCTCAACTTTTGTTCCAATATCATACTTATACCCCATAAAATGTTATGCATATATTTCTTCTAAAGCTGAGTGCTTACATTTATAACAAAAATTATCAGTTCAAGTCATCCTTAAATTTTTAAAGTTTAATTGTAATACCTTATTAAAATAGATCCTTCTGTCTTAATCAAAGGTATACCAAGGACTGTAGGATGAGTTTGTCAAGAAGGTCAAACATATCTGTAGAAAAAAATAGATGTAGTTTCATTCTCTGAGTCTTTATTAGCCCTATTATAAGTAAATAATTATTCCTAACAAAAGTTATAAGGAGGAACCAGATTCATTAATTTGATTACATTTCTTTCTATTTTTGGAGGAATTTGACAAATTTTCTGAAATACTTTCTAGCTATTAAAATTTCTACATCTATTAGCCAAATATTTTTTCCTTGGCCAACTACTAATAGCAACCATTTCATTATTAACTAAGTATGAGGCAATTTGTTAAATGGTTATATATATGTGTATATATATTATTTAATCTTTACAATAATCCATATATGGATATTTTTATCCCCACTTACAGATGAGAAAACTGAGACTCAGAGAGATGTAAAAATATGCTCAAAGTCCAAATTCATAAGTGTCAGACTTGGGATTAAAATCTGGCTTTGTCTGACCTTAAGAAAGGTCTATGCTTTCCACATTTAAATCCTCTTTGACCATGTCTGTTTGAACATCAGAAACCATTCTGGCTGTAATTTTTCATCAGCATAACCCTGATAGACCTCTGCAACAATCTGGTACCTCTCCTGTCAGCTTTCCCTGACTTCAGTAATTCTAACACCTCTTCCAAAGCTGGGGCAGGAACTCCGAACTCACCTTGTACCCCACACCTTCTTTGTCAGGACCAGTTCCCAACAGCTTTCTATCTGCAATCTAATTAGTTGCTTACTATTATCTTATTATCCCTTTGCTTCCTTTATCAAAGTTCTACTGACCCAAATGAGCCTTTGATGCTTGTTATAATGGATCTTTCCTTGAGTTCCTTCTTCCTTTGGAACAGCTACACTTGTCGATTTATTCAAATTCATCTGTTTGGCTTTCCTTCCTGTATTTTGATCATTATTATTAGTTCACCTTAAAACATTTCTTCAGACTCTGAATCTCTTCCCTATAATGTAAATATCAATAATGGTCTCATTAAGTGCACTTATATTTAACGATACCAGAAAATGGGGTTTGGGCAGGATGGGTTAGATCTATAATATAAATTTTGAGAGAGTGACTCAATTTAATAATGAAAGTTTTCATTTTTCATTGTTAAATTTGTTTTAGACTCCAAACAATTCTGGGCTTTAAAATGAACAGGTATAATAAAATCCCTTGAAGTATAACACATGATAATCAAGAATGTGCTAAGTAGCATATTCAGGGGAAGGATCAAGGTGTCAAATTCAGTGTTATTATTGAATAATTACTTAATAATGCTAATTCATATTTAATCAATAATACACTCTTCTTAAGGTATTCCTGATGAATAATTGAAAACTGAACTATTTTGTAACATACCTTGCTCTAAATCCAATGAATCAATCATATAAAACTTTTAAAATATAAAATTTTTAGAATAAAATGATTAATTAATCCCACTATTTAATAGCCAATCATGTTTACAAAATGTTAGCACTTGAAACATTAAGCAATTGAAAAGTTTTCAAGACACATCAGCTTAAGAAAAAAGGAAAAAATTATTGCTCCTTCAAAAATAAAACAGATTATTTGTGCTTAATTGTTTGCACTTAATGTCACTTGCAAAGCAGGTGCAGAAGTATAATATCATAAAGGGCTGTGCATTTTATTTTTGCTCCAGATTGTTACTTACAGGAGCCCAAAAACGTTACTTTGAAAAATTATCAATTTACTGTGACAGATATGCTGAACAAATTCCAGTAACCTTTGTGCTTGGTAAGTATAGGTCACACGCAGATTGCAGCCACACAGCTGTCTCCATTACGATGACACCGATGACTCTGCATGGGAATGTTTCCAAGCTGAGAGGCATGCCTGAAAAGCCACCGCTTGCAGTAGAACCAGAATCATCCATAAGGTTTGCTTTCACGGCTGCTTTTGCTAAATTAACGCCAAACAAGTTTGAGGAAATAATCTGCTATTGGACATTTAAGCTTTCTCTTCACTAACTCTCCATTTTTGCAGTCAATATTTGAGATCTAATACCCACTTACAGGGTGCTTAGGCATTGCCAGGCACAAATGACATTTTTTTCTGGAAGGCAAAATCAGAAGATATGGATAATAACATATTTTTGTCCTCCAACCTCTAAAAAGGCTAAAATTCAGCTAAAAGCATCAGTGTCACCAACGTGTCTGCTGTAAGAAACTGCTTTATAATTTCCTGTTATTCTACAGGGTTTTATGTTACTCTGGTAGTAAACCGATGGTGGAACCAGTTTGTGAATTTGCCCTGGCCAGACAGGCTAATGTTCCTCATCTCCAGCAGTGTTCATGGAAGCGACGAGCACGGGCGCCTGCTTAGAAGGACGCTGATGCGTTACGTCAATCTCACCTCCCTGCTCATCTTTCGCTCGGTGAGCACTGCTGTGTACAAAAGGTTTCCAACAATGGACCACGTGGTTGAAGCAGGTACTACGAATGGCTTTTCCTTCACTAGGCTTTCTCAGCTGAGACAGGACCTCCAGAATTCCTTTGAAAATTCCTTATGTTTGTTTATTCACTCAAGAAACATTTAGTGGTCGGGCACAGTGGCTCACGCCTGTAATCCAGCACTTTGGAAGGTCAAGGTGGGTGGATCACCTGAGGTCAGGAGTTTGAGACCAACCTGGCCAGCATGGCGAAACCCCATCTCTACTAAAAATAGAAAAAATTAGCCGGCCGTGGTGGCATGTGCCTGTAATCCCAGCTACTGGGGAGGCTGAGGCACGAGAATCACTTGAACCCAGGAGGCGGAGGCAGAGGTTGCAGTGACCCGAGATTGCAGCACTGCACTTCAGCCTGGGCCACGAAGTCAGACCCTGTCTCAAAAAAAAAAAAAAAAAAAAAAAAAAGAGAGAGAGAAAGAAAGAAAAGGAAAGAAAAGAAAAGAAAAAAGATAAAGAAACATTTATTGATTTCCTACTATGTGCCAGAAGCAAACTAAGAGACAAAGATGAATAAGACGTGATTCCTGCCCTCAAGTTTACTTCAGCGGTAGGGGAGAGAAAGTGGCAGATAGTAACATTGCCTTAAGGTAAACATAATAATTATCATATTTATTTAAACAATCTGGCTGGGGGAGCTCTTTGGGAGGCCCAGGCGGGTGGATCACCTAAGGTCAGGAGTTCCAGATGAACCTGGCCAACATGGCGAAACCCCGTCTCTACTAAAAATACAATAATTAGCTGGGCGTGCTGGCTCACGCCTGTAATTCCAGCTACTCAGTAGGCTGAGGCAGGAGAATCGCTTGAACCTGGGAAGTGGAGGTTGCAATGAGTCGAGATCGTGCCATTGCATTCCACCCTGGGCAACAAGGTCCCCATCAGTCCCCAAAAAATAAAAAAATAAAAATAATCTGTCATATTAACTTACAGTTTTCTAGCACTATACGGTTTTGTCTCCTTTATAGCTATTTTGTTTGGACCTCAAGAAAACATGAAAAAGGTAGAAAATAGATTCAGAAAGGTTACAACCTGCGCTGAATTACACAGCTGATCAGTGGAAAGGCCAGAATTAAAATTTACGCTCCAAACTCCTAAGTTGATACTTTCTAATAGATTCTGGTAGGAACCGGCAATGTCAATTTCATCTAGGCAGACACTGAGAGGTGATAGTCAAAAGCTGTTTTAGTGTGGACCTCTTGTCTCTTGTGCCTCGAAGGAGATGTAAATAGTTAAAGGATGATTCTCTTTGGTGTGTAAATATTTAGCAAAGAAGCTGTTAAGTCCGCCTTCGATAGGGCGAGGATTAAATGGATAATTCTCGGCACGTATGGATAAGAACCGTGAGGTGATTCTGCCTTTACATTGAGTCCAGTCTCACATTAGTTTGCAGTATTTAGTCTCCTTTCCTGAAATGTCCTGGAAAATAGATATTTTCGGATAATAGTTTTTGTTTGTTTTGGATTTTTGTTGGCTTTTTTTGTTGTTGTTTTTGTTTTGCCTTTTTAAATGGCTAATATAGATAGTGACTTCTGAAGTCAAAATAAAACTGTAGAGATGAATGTCTACATTTCACATTTTATTCGAGAAGAAAGAACTCCAGTTTGAGGCATACACACAGACCAGATGGCATTCAGTACATCCAAAATACAAAGAGAAGTTTGGAGGTTTTATAAAAAGACAGAAATGTTACATATTGCTCTTTGAGAAAGTTCATTGGCACTAGTAAGTTTCTGGGGAGCTGGCAAGTTTTGACTGGTGAGCGATGGAGGTGGGTAAAATTAGTCTTCAAGTTGCAGCAGATCATTTCAGCAACTATAAAATTGGTTTCAGGTAATAGCAGGCAGTTTCAGCAACCAGGCCTGCAGAAAATTACTTTGTGTCTTGGCTGCTTTTTTTTTTTTTTTTGAGACAGAGTCTTGCTCCGTGGCCAGGCTGGAGTGAAGTGGCACGATCTTGGCTCACTGCAATCTCTGCCTCCTGGGTTCAAGCAATTCCCCTGCCTCAGCCTCCCAAGCAGCTGGGACTACAGGTGCACACCACCACACCGGGCTAAGTTTTTGTATTTTAGTAGAGATGGGTTTCACCATGTTGGCAGAATGGTCTCAATCTCTTGACCTGGTGATCCACCCACCTCGGCCTCCTAAAGTGCTGGGATTACAGGTGTGATGCCCGGCCTCAACTGCTTTTTCCTGATGGCTTCTTGACTCTGTTTTATTGGGTATGACAAGAATGACCCAATTCTATTATCAACTTTCACAATGATTAAGAACACAGAGTAAGGGTTTGAAACCTTATCTCACAGCTTACTAGCTGCATGACTTTGTCTGAGGTAGTTAACCATTCTGTTCCTCAGTTTCCTAATCCATAAAATGGACTTAAAGTAACTTATAATAGCACCTACCTCATATACCCCATAGGCTTGTTATGAGGATTTAGAAAGTTCATATTTGCAAAATGTTTAGAGCATTGCTGGCACACAGTAAGTGCTGCATGATTTCTTGCCATTGTAATGAAATTATATCTCAAACAACAGCACAACATAGCACTCTAGCCGCTTTAGAAGAGGTTGCGAATGTCAAGGTGGAAATAAGGCAGAAGGGGTGTAGGTGACATTGTTAGAGATGCAGAGTGAGATGTGAGAAAGTAATGGGTGCCAGGAGCTGGTTAAGGGGGATTCAGGGGGAGGGTTTGAAGGCCTGGCACATGCACAGGTATATGATAATATAAAATCAGTAGGAACTTTAAAAAAAATTAATTGCCATCCTTCCTCCAAATATGAAAGTAGAATACTGTTTCAGAATGACCGAGTTAAAAATACTACTAGACAACTCAATTTTATCTTACCTTAATGTCTCCAGGAACAAATAGATTAAGAATTACCACCTCTAAGAAAGACCTAAAAACAAACAAGAAATGTATGACCTATTCCAAGTTGCTGAGCTAAAGTTTACTTGGATGAACAGCGGTGATATTTCTCCAGTTCTGACGCATCCTTGAAATGAAGAGAGTGCATTCTGACGGGAATCAGATGCCGGGTCCAATCCTCAAAGCAAATCTCATCTTAGTGTCACCTTCATATTAAAAGCACATCGGGAAGAAGCCAGGTTGGCTGGCAATGGAGAGGTCTCTGGGGCCTCTGGTCAGACATGAGCTCAGAGGACTGAGCTGTGCTCAGGTCTGAGGGGAAAGTAGATATAGGGAGGCAAATAGGAAAATGATGTGATTTCATTTCCTTTGAGTGTATTCTTCAGAATACCAAGGCCCACTCCCTCTCAAACTTGTACAGATGTCTGCCACGTACATGCACTCTGACTTCTCCCTTTCCAAGGCATGTGGGATACTGAAATACTTCTATCTCTTCAGCTACCAATGTTTCTGCCATTCCAAGGGAATCTCAGAATGAGTCCTTCACTTCTGGATGTACATTTAAACTAGTCTCTAGGAGTGGTCCACAGACCCACAGGCCCTCTACATCTTGAATAACTTGAGTTTATGTATTTAAAATGTATATTCCTGGGTCCTACCCACATCAGGCCCTCTGAATTATTATAGAACCTAATAGAACCTTTGGATGTACGGCCTAGGAATCTGCAGTGAAACATGCTCCTGTGTTGGTTTTTTTAGTACCCCAAAGCTTGAGAAGTATTGCATCTTTTCTGGGATGCTTATTTTTTAAACCCTTTTTCTTACTCCTGGGGCAAAAGGCTTTGGCAACCACCAACTCAACGATAATAAAGCAGCAGCAATTAAGAAAGGATGGATTGGAGGTTTCAGCTTGAGGTTCCTGAATTACAAAGAAGAGCTTTGAGGAAGCAGGCTGGTGGGAGGGAGGCTACTGTATAAGGGATTTGAATTCCACCTGCTTGGATGTAACAAGCATTGTTCTGACTTAAACTTTTTGGTTGGTCTGTCTGAAGTGGATGAAGGGAGAAGAGAACTGACAGAGGAGCTCTGATGAGGTGAAAGCCTTTCCAAGGGTCCTGTGACACAATCACCGATTATCTCAGTGAGAAGGTCCCAGTTGCTCTCATTCACTCCTAAGTACGTTCTCAAAAGACAGAAAAGGGGTAGTGGGTACAGCTAGTCCCCACAAGAATATATTGTGCTTCTGGCAAGTAATTTTGAAGATAACTACTTTCCTCTCCTGATGCTTGTAAATACTGGATAAGATGTTTTGATTTAGTATGAGACCATACTATACGCATGCATTGTGTGTTACGCGGCAGGGCAAAGGTTCCAAGCCACTATCCTCTAAGCCAGGAGAGACGCTTCAGAGGCCTGTCTTACTGGCTGCCCCAGGCCGGCACCCCCTGTCACCGGCAGTGCTGACTCACTGAACTTCCTGCTGCTTTCCCCAGCAGAGAGGGCTGACTCAGAGTCTGCACATGGGGTCCACTTCCAAGTTCTTCCAACTGGGCATATGCCTCCGCCACTCTCTGACTGTCCTTTGCCTGTGCCAAGGTTTCTGGGAAGAACAGGAAGTTCAGGGATGGCGGAAAATGTTTGGCAGATCCCCTGAGTCCAAAGCCAGGGCACCTGCTCCTGCCTGAGGGCAGAGAGGACTGGTAAGAAAAGCACTGAGGGCCCCAAAGGGGTGGAGACAAGGTTAAGGGCATGAAGGACCTTCTTGTCAGTTGAATTCTCTACATAAAATCACCTGTAAGAGAAAGTACATGTTCTCACACTTCAGGGTGCATTAGATATTGTTAAAATCAATATTGCTAAAAATTTGGATCCCACGATACCACTCCCAGAGATTCTGACTCAGTAGGTCTGGAATGGGCTCCAGGAATCCGTGTGTTGAACAAACTCCTGGAGACTCTGAGGCTGGTGGTTCCTGGCTTGCACTCTGGGAAGCAATGGGCTTTGAGGCAATCGGTTTCCCTCCAGCTTCTCTTTCTTCTGCAAGGGTTTTTGCCTATATAGAGTCAGTGCTGGACAGAAGGAAATAATCGAGAGGGCCAAGAGTGAGGACCAGCACCTCCT